AAAAATACATCAGCAAAAAATCCCACAGTTTAAAGATAACATTCCACACTGAGCGACTCCAGAATTGTAGGTGTTTCACCCTCTACAGCGCATAATATCATCAACAGCTTCTGGAAATCCAGATAAATGTCTATGTATAAAGTAAAAGGCTGAAAACCACAAGTGAGTGACCTTTGACCCCTCAAACGGCACTGCATTAAAAACCAGCAGTGATTGGATCACCACAGGGCCTCGGGAATACTTTTTATCAGTAAACACCGTCGGTCTCTGTGCCCACAAACGTAGGTTAAGACTGTACTCAGCTCAGTGGAAGTCACATATCAACAACGTCCAGAAACACCGCCAACTTCTCTGGGCTGGAGATGGGAAACTTGCACAAAATGAATGCTGGAAGATAATTACATATTTTAACATATATTTACTCCCTTCTACTGTATATTTACAAAAAAACAAAACAATCAGGTTCAAATATAGTGTATTGTTTATAGTGTAATACAGATCAATCAGAACTAATCAGAACTAATCAGAACTATTCACTGCTTTCTGTTTTATTAGCATTTCACACACTGTCCAAACTGAGATTTGTCCAGTTTTAGAGCTACAGACTGTGTGTGTGTGTGTGTGTGTGTGTGTGTGTGTGTGTGCAGGCTGTGTGTGTGTGTGCAGGCTGTGTGTGTGTGTGTGTGCAGGCTGTGTGTGTGTGTGTGTTAAGGCTGTGTGTGTGTGTGTCAGAGTTTGACACTTTGCTCCACTTCCTGTCTTGGTACACTTCCTCTCTCTGTCAGAAGAACTTCCTGTTTCTGTTATCACACACATTGCTGTTTCCTGTGCAAACACACACACACACACACACACACACACACACACACACACACACACACACAGACACACCTCACTGAAACACTAACACCTGGACTGAAAACAGACTCTATTCCTTCATTTGCATTGTTCTACAGGGCTGTGAAAAAGTATCTGCACCCCCGGATCTCTTCTACTGTTTCATATTTGACCCAAATTGTTGTTTCAGAACTTTAAACAAAATCAAATTCAATACAAAGACACACCTGAGACCAGTTAATGCAGACCCACAGGCTCGGTTACTGCCAGTCTGTTAAAATACCACTTAAATAGAACATTTCCAGCCAAGGCTAACCCTGCGTTCACACCGGCAGCGACCTTTTGCTTCGTCACCCCAAATCACTGGTCGCTCATCGCCTGTGGGCGTTTCTGAACTCAAGCAGACTGTTGGTTGCCGTGGTTTCACTGACACCAAACACAAATCAGATGCATTCCCGCTAGAATTAAAAATCCTGGTGAGAAATCACTTCTGCGCTATTTGATCACCGTGTCTGTGAAGTTAGTATGTGAGGGAAAACAGTATTTGGTCTTAGTAACTACTGTCCATCTAGTAGGAACCATTATCTAGGAACCAAAAACAGAGCGCACTGTTTCACAGTGGCGGAGATAAAGTGCAAACCACGCTGCTCAATGCTCCGTTCTTATTGGTAATCGCCTCATCCTTATTTGAATAAAGTTAAACTCCAATGTTTGCGCCACCTCCTGCCACTGGAAATGACATCTCTAATTGAAAATGAATGACGTCTGGCCGCTTTGCCACGTCACTGCCGGTGTGAATGCAGGGTAAGAGGTCTCGACAAGCAGCACGCTGTCCTGCGCTCAAATGAAATTCCAGAAGAAAGACAGTTATGGAAATAGATACGTCTGGAGAGGGTTACAAAGCCATTTTAAGCTCTGGAGCTCCAGCGAACCACAGTGAGGGCTGTTATCTCCAGATGGAGAACCTAAAGAATTTTTGAAGAAATGCTGGATTCGCTCATTAGAGAGAAAGAGAGGCAAATATGGTCTCCATGGCTAAAAGCACTGCTAACCCAGAGGAATTTGCCAAAAAAATGGCTCCTGAGTTGCGTCTAAGCATTGGCCCTATTATCAGGAGATCATGAGTTTGACCCACGGTGATTCCACATTCATCCATAACCAGGAATTCAAGAGATCATCACTGCCCTCTCTCTCTCTCTCTCTCTGTAGGATTGTCCTCCCTCTCCCCATCACTCAGCGAGATGCCAGACAGCACAGGCTAACATAACATAATTAGCAGCTATGGGTCTCCTCCAAGCAGCAGTGCTTTAGCAGCAGTTTGAAAAGATGAAGGCTTTACCCTCCTAGAGTTGGTGGCGTCTTGTGATTGGGGAAGACTGGGCAAGTGGGTGGGAATGGAATTGACAAAGTAAGAAAGAAAACTGGGGAAAGTGCCAAAAAACAAAAGAGTCTGTTTATTCATAGCCATAGATATTGGGAAGGTACACAACGTGACTTGGCTGCATGTTAAATTCAAGACCGCAGTCAGTGTTCAGTGTTACTGTGTGACGAGCAGCAGGTGGTAAACGCGTTAGAGTCTTTTAGTGGGTAACGGTACCCTAAACCCAAGGTGCAGAATTACCCCCTGAATGTCTCCAAATCAAAACTCTGGGGGTCCCTGAAAAGAAACATATTATGATGTTATGCTATCCGTAATAAAAACAGGCACCCAAATTCAGATTGTTTATCTGCTTCCCCCACAATCAGCTTCTGTCTCTGGTGATCTTAACTAACTAGAGCTGTAGCACTGCTCTGCCTCAGGGTGGCGCTGTAGCAGACTGGTTCACCCAGTTGGTCCTTCATAGCCTAGAAACTGTAACTCTGCCTGGATTCCTCTGAAAAACTTTCCAATGAGCTGCAGCAGATCTGTAAATCTGAAAACTCGCCCAGTTTCCCAAGAGTTTGGAGTGAAGAGTGACTGTTCCTCATTTCACACACTGAAGACAGAAGAGGAGACGAGGAAGATCTCAGTTACTGTGAGGAAGAGCGCAGAACCGCACTAGAACAGAGACTCTACAGGAGAACAGCTGATAAAACAGACACTTTAGCAGTTAGCCGCTGGAGTAACCAGCCAACATGGGATCCTCGAGTACCAGGGGGTGTTTCACACACTGCCTAAAACACAGATAACAATCCGCTCTTGTTCTTTTGAAGCTTCTAGTTTTAAACCTGCAGATGTGGTGAGGCTTTTATGTGACTCTTCAAACGTATTTAGCATATATTTGATTTAACTGTAACAAAAGAAACGTTATTAAAGTGAAATTGATCATCGTTCCCCTTCTCTTCACTCTAAATGGAAGACATGGCATCAGTTTTATTCGACAGCACTTCGGCCAAATGAAGCTTTCCCGACACCTCCGCTATCTGTCAAGGCTGCTGGACTGGCCAGCGTCCAGCCAATCTGACCGGCCTTCGTATATTTAGAGTGGTGGACGCTCTTCAGTGCTGCATGTTAAGCTGCATGTTGGGAATTTACTTTGACAAGCCACTCAGAGATAAGAGCACAATAGAGAGAGAATGTGCCTGTAGAAACGCTGTCCAGGCACCACGCAGACAACGTCCAGCTAAAAGATGTCCGTCTTAGTTTATTATAACACAAATAATCTCAGAATTAAGTCATTTGGAGTCTAAATACTGTACAGTGACTCACTCAGGGGTCTCGGTGTCTAACAGGTGGGTTTTAAACACAGTCTGGGTGATGATCACTCGTTTCTGAGTTGGTGTTTGAGCTGCTGATGCTAATGAGCTCGTTTTGCGAGGTTACAATACAGTGTGAAGTGATTTGATGTAATAAGATGTGATACAGTATAATATAATGTAATATAATGCTTTCTAATATATCACTGCAATGTAATTTGATGTGATACGACGCGATATGTTAGAATTACATGTGATACGACTTGAATACAATATGCCATAGGATGCATTACAATATAATATAATTCACTACAACTCAATACAAATAAGTGTGTTACAATACAGTGTGATTCTCTGTGATACAAGAAAATGCTATATTATAATGTCATGCAATATATATTATAATACATTGTGATGTGATATATATTGTGTGCCAATGCAGCATGCAACAATATATTGTAAATCAATATATAATACAAAGTAATTCAATAAGATATGCTAAAATATGATACAAAATGATGTAAAACAATACGATGCAATGTAATTCACTACAATATGATGCAAAGCACTGTACAGTTCCTACCTTCATGATCTCATCATGAACTCCAGATCAGAAAACAGCATCACACAAACATCCTAACTAGACTAAACCTCCTAAATCCTGTCCTAACTTTAGGATGAACCCCAACAGGGTCCTCACTTCTGTTTAAGGTCCGTTTCTATGGTTTTTAGGCAGCTGAGTCAGCAGCATAGTTCACTACCAGCATAATGAGCTCCATTTATCTCTACTGTAAAACGCTGCTTTCACTGTGAGATGATTTTCTTTTCTAACTCTGCGTTTTAAAGATCTCAGACGCTGCAGACTCGATCTCCACCGCCCCTCTGATCACCTTCGTGTGTTAATGTTGATGATGAAATATTACAGTGATGGTGGTGAATAATGAGGAGACGGAGCTGAACGTGTGTCTGTTTATTAGGAGGAGTAACGTTAGCGCGCTCAGCTAAAGCGTTTGGGAAATGGAGACTGAAACTGGGGAGCGGCGGCGCTCTGATAAACAGCAGGGGGCGCTCTCACAGTATTCACAACTCACAGTTTATCACACTTTAGTTCTGTTTGGTCTTTTTTACATCAGTAACAGCAGCTTAACTCACATTTTAACGTGATTTTGATTATATGTTTTTTACGTTTCAGCTGTGTGTGTATGGTCGGTTGCTAGGAAACAGACATGAGCAGCAGTGCACCATTTGCACCACGCTGTGTCTGAAAGTGCATACAGACTGAATAAGGGTACTCACATGCCCCTTGGTCTTGGATATCCATGTGTCCAGCAGCAGTGCGAGGCGGCTGCCGTGGAAACGGCCCGTGGTCTTCACGGCGATGAAAATGTCCTGTAGCCTCAGAGGTTTTTTCCTCCCCTGCATCCCTTCACTGGGGAGCTTCGGGCTGTCCTTGGTGCGCATCTGCAAATGCAGGAAAACGCCGAAGACGCAGGTGGTCACCAGGGCCAAAGGCAGGGCCCGACAGAGCCTCCTCATGGTCATCCTGAAGACAGTGAAGCGGTCCGGTCACATCCTTTAGGGTCCGGAGAACATGGTCTGGCGGATGGGGTCAGTACACGCTGCTGTGGTGCATTGTGGGCATCATAGTCTGAAGGTTCTTCTGCAGAGAAAGGTATGGATACTATAGATAAAGCTATACAGCTAAAGCTATAAACACGAGTTAAGGCTACAGGTATGATAGTCAAAGTTATAAAGCTACAGGCTCTGTATTTAAGGCTATATTTAAGGCTATATTGCTAAAGCTATATGTGCTATAGTTAAGGCTATATAGCTAAAGCCATAAACACTATAGTTAGAGCTATATAGCTAAAGCTATAGGCAATATAGTTAAAGTTATATAGCTAAAGCCATACGCACTATGGTGAAGGCTATATAGCTGAAGCTACTGGCACTCTAGTTAAAGTTATACAGTTAAAGCTATAAACAATACAGTTAGAGCTATATAGCTATTGCAATAGGCACTATAGTTAAAGTTATATATCTAAAACTATAAGCACTATAGTTGTAGCTGTATAGCTAAAGCTACAGGCACGATAGTTAAAGTTATGTAGCTAAAACCATAAACACTACAGTTATATAGCTAAAGCTATAGGCACTATAGTTAAAGTTATACAGTTAAAGCTACAAACACTATAGTTAGAGCTATATAGTTATAGCAATAGGCACTATAGTTAAAGTTACATAGCTAAAGCTATAAGCACTATATTTAAAGTTATGTAGCTAAAGCCATAAACACTACAGTTATATAGCTAAAGCTATAGGCACTATAGTTAAAGTTATACAGTTAAAGCTATAAGCACTACAGTTATTTAGCTAAAGTTATTGGCACTTTAGTTAAAATTATATAACTAAAACCATAAGCACTATATTTAAAGTTATATAGCTGAAGCTATAGGCACTATAGTTTAAGTTATACAGTTGAAGCTATGAACACTATAGATAGAGCTATTATAGTTATAGCAGTAGGCACTACAGTTAAAGGTATATAGTTACAGCTATAAACACTATAATTAAAAGCAGAGCAGTTAAGAAAATCAGCGCTTTAGATAAACGTATATTGTTTAAACTATATAAAGGCTATAGTTGAAGCTATATAGTTAAAACTATAAGCACTACAGCTATAGGGTTATCGTTAAAGGTATAGACACTATAGTATGGCTGAATGTGCTATAGCTAAATTTATATAGTTAAAGGTAAAGCCATGATAGGTAAATCTATACAGTTAAAGGTATAAACACCCATATAGTTAAGAATATCTAGATAACTCTATGGCTGCTGTGGTCAAAGCTAAATAGTGAAAACTGTTAAAAAGCACGCACCCTTCGCCTCTAGCTCGATCTAGCGTGACTCCTCACACTTCCTCTATTCATCACGCCGCCCCAGGCACTTTGAGAGCATTTCCTCCTGCAGCTTTCGCCCTGCAGACCGTTAGCCAACCCACTGAAACAAGCAGAAGTGGGTAGAGTCGAGCAGAGTAAAGCCATCCTCCAGCAGGCTGATGAAATGATGGTCCACATAGAAGTAAAAGGAGCTCCCGAAACCCAGTGTTGACTAAAAGCTCCTGTAGGGGTTCAGAGGAACCACTTAGTGCGTCATCATAGAAACTACTTAGACTTATTCAAATTAGCCGCTCCACCTTAAATGCTGCAGCTGTTACATGCTGAAGCGTCAGGTGCCTCAATGTAAGAGCTGCATCATTTAAGGTGGAGCTGAAAATTCAAAGAAGTGAGAAGTGAGAGCAGCAATACATCAGTAGACGTAAACTATTAGCATTACATTAGCATATTAGCTAGTAATTAAATTGTATTGAAAGAGAAACTCCACTGATTGGAAGAAATGTCTATAGTTAAGTGGGTAAGATGTAAACAGAGTGGTTCAGAGTGGTTCTCTGTTCTAGATAAACTTACCGAGTCAGAACTGTTCACAGTGGTGGTGATAGGAACCAGACGTCCACCTCTAAAAGCTCCCTCACAGAAAGTTCCTACAGTAAATGGTTATGAATTCACTGCCTGATGTCTGAGACACTGTTTTATGTTAGTTTAGAGAACTTAAACTCCATTCATGGTGGAGGGATACATGCAGGGCGCTGTGAGGCAAAATAGTCCCCAAAGAAAACTTATTATTTCAGATTTTCCACTATTTTCCATCATCAACATTCCATATAGACTCAGAAGACTCGTGTAGGTTCACTGGTGGTTCTGGATAGTAAATAAAATGTCTATATCTGTGTTGTAGTCATGGCGACCCCTGGTTCCTATCACCACCACTGTAAAGACATCTGAACCATTTCACACCAAACCTCTCTGAATCACTCTGATTACACCTCACACACTGAGTTATACAGAGATTATGAAAATTTAGTGTACATTAAACTGGATGAACGTGACTCGACAGAAGACAGAGGTGGTGATGACTTACCCCACGACAGACTCAAAGTAGTCCTAATTTTTAAAGGTGTAAGTTGTAAAAGTTTCCCTTTAAGAAGTTGCTGAGTGTAGAGCCCACTGCATACTGACTCTGACACAGGGTGTGTGTGAGTGTGTGTGTGTGTGTGTGTGTGTGTGTGTGTGTGTGTGTGTGCGCGCGCGCTGGATGAGGCTGTGGGTAAAAATGCACCCCCCTCCTCCCCCCAGCGTTTCCTCTGGCCGTTAATCCTGAACAGGTTTCCCTCGGTGATTGCGCAATCCCACTGAGAGAAGCTTCAGTTTACACAGCGCCTACTGATGCTGATTATTACAGAGTGTAAATCTCTGACCTCACGATTCTTCAGGAAACGATTCAGTGCAGCATCAAATCTCACGTTTCACCACCAAACAGTTCAGTTCCTTTAATTCCTAAATCTCTATTTCTTAAATTCTTAGTTAGATCCTTTCATTTAGTTTGATTCTGTAATATTTGACCACCATTTAGTTTGATTCTTTAAGAAATGATTCAGTGCAGCATAGAATCTTACGTTTCTCCATCGTTTAGTTTGATTCTTTGATAAATGGTTCAGTGCACCATCAAATCTCACATATCACCACCATTCAGTCTGATTCTTTAAGAAATGATTCAGTGAGCCATAGAATCTAAATATCATTCAATGTGATTGTTTAGGAAATGATTTAGTGCATTTTAAAATCTCACATTTCACCACCATTTAGTCCAGTCCTTTAAGAAAAAATGATTCAGTGAACCATAGAATCTAAATATTCTAAATAATATTACGACTGTTTACATCTGCAACATGCACCTTATGGACCGCTGCTGTACATACTTTCACATACGCACACGTAACTTTAATTTCTTCTTTCAACTTTGCACAAATAACTACTTTTTTTACTTTTTTACCATTGTTAGTAGTTTATTTCTACTTATTCTGTGTATTTAATATATATTTTTTATATTTCTTTTTTTTTAAGATTATATTTGGTGAATGGAGGAACAGCGAAGTAAGAATTTCATTGCACAGTGTAACTGCCTGTTTCTGCTGTGCATATGACAATAAAACTCTTCAAAAACTTCAAAACTTGAAAAATGATTCAGTGCACCATCATATCTTAAATTTCACCACTATTGAGTTTGATTCTTTTATAAATGATTCAGTGCATCATCGATTCTCACATTTCACTACTATTCAGTTTGATTCTTTTATAAATGATTCAGTGCATCATTAACTCTTATATTTCACCACTATTCAATTTGATTCTCTAGGAAATGATTCAGTGCACCATCAAATCTTATGTTCCACCACCACTCAGTTTGATTCTTTTTTAAACAATTCAGTGCATCATCGATTCTCACATTTCACTACTATTCAGTTTGATTCATTTATAAATGATTCAGTGCACCATCATCTCAAATTTCACCACTATTCAGTTTGATTCTTTTATAAATGATTCAGTGCATCATTAACTCTTATACATACATACATACATACATACATACATACATACATCATCTAAACCGCTTATCCTTCTGGGTCGCAGTGGGGTGCTGGAGCCTATCCCAGCTGTCATTGGGCGGAAGGCAGGATACACCCTGGACAGTTCGCCAGTCCATCACAGGTTAACTCTTATATTTCACCACTATTCAATTTGATTCTCTAGGAAATGATTCAGTGCACCATCAAATCCTATGTTCCACCACCACTCAGTTTGATTCTTTTTTAAACAATTCAGTGTATCATCGATTCTCACATTTCACTACTATTTAGTTTGATTCATTTATAAATGATTCAGTGCATCATCAAAACTCACATTTCACTACCATTCAGAATCATTTTTTACATTTGAAAGCCTTAAAACTGTATTCCAGCCATAAATTAGTTCATTATTTGTTGTAGTTTAATTATAATCCATTCTATTATTTCTAAATCAGTGCAGCTGAAAAAGCACCTTCCTGTATTTTAATGTCCTTATTTTGTTTATCAGTAAAAGATCGCTGTGCTTCTCGCTTCTCAGCTGTACTCCTGGTTTAAAACCCTGTCAATACTGATTAGAGGTGAGTTTCACCCCTAATTTAATTGCTGTCTGTCAGACGAGACGTTTGCTGTCTGAATTACATTCAGTATTCATGTCATTATCTTCAATAACACTTCTTAATCAGTAAATTTACCCACTATCAGCCTTCATTTCTGCTTTAAGCCACGCCCACTTTCAGTCTGTGTGTTAAAAGACGGTACTGAGGCAGTAATTGGTGTCAGAGTGAAGATGTCAGCATTACATCATACTGATTTGAATGAAACTCAGAAATTATACAAGAATTTTGAAAAACGGATGGACTTCCCCTGGGGCCCGTTAGTTAGCACCATGCTAATTGGTGGGGTACAAGTTTCCATTATTTGTTCTCATTCCACAGTTAAAACTACACTCTGAAAAAAGATGGTTCTGCAAGGTTCTTTAGTAAGGTCAATGATTCTATACAGGCCCATGAACACTCAAAGAACCATTTGCATGCTTAAGGTTCTCTGCACGGTGAAATGGTTCTTCAGATTGATGGAGAATGTGTTGTTTATGGTTCTATACAGCACCTTTTTGAAAAGGGATCTATATAGCACAAAAACATGTTCTGCTACTGCTACAAGCTTTACATCGTAACAACAGAAGAACCCTTTTTGGTGCTTTATAGATCCAATCTAAAGAACCGTTTCACCATGCAAAGAACCGTAAGCATGCAAATGGTTCTTTGGGTGTTCATGGTTCTGTACAGAATCACTGTCTTTACTTAGAACCCTTAAAGAACCATCTTCTTTAAGAGGGTACAGAAACAAACTCGTCTTGGCTGCTGGACTGTATGTGGGGTAAAGTGGGGGGGCAGGTGGTGGGGTAAGGTGGGGGAGGGTGGTGGGGGTGGGGGACTATCGCTTTAAGGCACCGCTGGATTATTTGGTGCCCTGAGTTGGGATTAAGGGGAAGAACGACAGCATCAACAGGAGACAACACCTTTGTTTGTTTGTGGTTTCTCAGAGTTCTCTCCTTTCCTCCATTCATCCCTCGCTCCCAGTGCCCAGCTGCCTCCCTTTCTCCTCGCTCCCTCGCTCCGCGGATCCCTGGAGTAAACCGGAGACGTCCCGGCGCGGAGCGGCCAGGAAACACCCGGCATCGCTTTACGGCCCGCATGAAAAGAGCCTTTTAACACGCCAACCACACGGCTCCCTGTTTTACACAAAGGGTCTGGGGGCAGCCCCCCGCAGGCTCTTTAGGAGCGGATCCCAACATAAACAGCGCAAATACGGCGCCCCCTGTAGGCGGGTTCACTGTGAGCTACTCCTGCTACAAGACACACAGTAATTCAATAATATAAAAGCAACTGTGTACTAGATAAATATATAATTATTCTTATATGATGATGGTGCTCTTTCAGATTATCAGTGGGAAACGATAGAGATTATAAAATGAATTTAGTTTAAAAAATCCTGAATAAAACTGTAAAAATTTAAATCCAAAACAATTAAATTCTAATAAAATTAAAATTCAGAATGAAGTTTTAATTTAAATACATTTTAATTATAAGGATTTTATAAAAATAATATCAGACTAAACTTAAAATAGCTAAAATTAGCATCTATAATGAAGGTAATAAAAATCTCTAGAATATATATATAATATATAAAATACACATTTACACCCCACACACTGAATTATGGAGGAAACTTGAATAATTGGTGGAATTCCTCTTTTCAAAATACTAAATAGAATTAGCAAACAGCAGTTACGATGGTGTTCCAGGTGGTTGCTATGTTGCTAGGGTGTTGCTAGACAGTTGTCAGGTGGTTGCTAGGTGGTTGCTATGATACTTTAGGCGGTTCATTTGAATTTCAGAAAATATCTGCAGTTTGAGTTTATTGTGGTGCTCAGCTGGTTCTGCTGATGCTCTGTCTGTTAATCCTTCTTGGGGGGAGTTGGGGGGGTGGACTGAGCCCTACAGGGATTAGGTGACCTATATGTGGGAAAGGACCGGTCAGAGGAGAGAGAGCAGGTTGGTCTCGGCTGAATTAGAGCGCTTAAGTTTGGGCTTAAAATCCTAACAATCCCCCCTCTATTAGACCCCCCATCTAAACCCAGATCTGAGCTAATATCACATAACACACACAGACCACACACAGTACACACACTGTAAACACTATACACACCGGAAAGACCACATACACACACTCACCCCCTCACCCCCTCACTCACTCACTCACTCACTCCCTCACTCCCTCACTCACTCACTCATTCTCTCACTGACTCACTCACTCACTCCCTCACTCCCTCACTCACTCACTCACTCACTCCCTCACTCCCTCACTCACTCACTCCCTCACTCACTCACTCACTCACTCACTCACTGACTCACTCACTCACTCCCTCACTCCCTCACTCACTCACTCACTCACTCACTCATTCTCTCACTGACTCACTCACTCACTCACTCATTCTCTCACTGACTCACTCACTCACTCCCTCACTCCCTCACTCACTCACTCACTCACTCCCTCACTCACTCCCTCACTCACTCACTCCCTCACTCACTCACTCACTCACTCACTCATTCTCTCACTGACTCACTCACTCACTCCCTCACTCCCTCACTCACTCACTCACTCCCTCACTCCCTCACTCACTCACTCCCTCACTCACTCCCTCACTCACTCACTCACTCCCTCACTCCCTCACTCACTCACTCACTCCCTCACTCCCTCACTCACTCCCTCACTCACTCCCTCACTCACTCACTCACTCTAAAGAAATTAGGAAAACAAAGGAAAAACTTTAATTATATTTCTAATTTCATTTATGTTTTTCTATCTTGCTTTTATGAGTAAAATTATGCAAAGAATATGCAATAATGCAATTATTTAGTGTAATCATTACAATGACCACTAGATGGCAGCACAGCACTGTCCACAGAGATTTCCAGTCTGCACTAAAACTGCACCACATAAAGAAGCAGAGTCACCAGAACTGCATAACATACTCACTTTAATCGCTCTAACTATACCAGACTCTATATGCTCAATATATACACACTCTACATACTCTATATACTCAATATATACCCACTCTACATACTCTACAGACTCAATATATACACACTCTATATACTCTATATGCTCAATGTATACCCACTCTACATACTCTACAGACTCAATATATACACACTCTATATACTCTATATGCTCAATATATACCCACTCTACATACTCTACAGACTCAATATATACACACTCTACATACTCTATATACTCAATATATACCCACTCTACATACTCTATATGCTCAATATATACACACTCTATATACTCTATATGCTCAATATATACCAACTCTACATACTCTATATGCTCAATATATACACACTCTACATACTCTATATACTCAATATATACCCACTCTACATACTCTATATGCTCAATTTATACCCACTCTACAGACTCTACAGACTCAATATATACACACTCTACATACTCTGTATACTCAATATATACACACTCTACATACTCTATATGCTCAGTATATACCCACTCTACATACTCTATATGCTCAATATATACACACTCTACATACTCTATATACTCAATATATATCCACTCTACATACTCTATAGACTCAATATATACCCACTCTATATACTCTATATGCTCAATATATACCCACTCTACATACTCTACAGACTCAATATATACCCACTCTACATACTCTATATAATCAATATATACCCACTCTATATACTCTATATGCTCAATATAGACCCACTCTATATACTCTATATGCTCAATATATACCCACTCTACATACTCTACAGACTCAGTATATATCCACTCTACATACTCTACAGACTCAATATATACCCACTCTATATACTCTATATGCTCAATATATACCCACTCTACATACTCTACAGACTCAATATATACCCACTCTACATACTCTATATACTCAATATATACCCACTCTATATACTCTATATGCTCAATATATACCCACTCTACATACTCTACAGACTCAGTATATATCCACTCTACATACTCTACAGACTCAATATATACCCACTCTATATACTCTATATGCTCAATATATACCCACTCTATAAACTCTACAGACTCAATATATACCCACTCTACATACTCTACAGACTCAATATATACCCACTCTACATACTCTATATAATCAATATATAACCACTCTACATACTCTATATACTCAATATATACCCACTCTACACAGTCTCTATCCCCTACATGTTATGTATCCCTCCACCATGAATGGAGTTTAAGTTCTCTAAACGATCATAAAACAGTGTCTCAGTCATCAGACAGTGAATTCATAACCATTTCATGTAGGAACTTTCTGTGAGGGAGCTTTTAGAGGTGGACGTCTGGTTCCTATCACCACCACTGTGAACAGTTCTGACTCGGTAAGTTTATCTAGAACAGAGCGTTTCACACCAAACCACTCTGAACGACTCTGAGCCGCTCTGAACGAGTCTGTTTACATCATTTAATAATGTAGCAATATTAACTCTGTGGACTTCCCCTGTTCTTTGAGCTCAGCTGTGTTTTTTTGTGTGAACACTTATTCCAAGCCCTCTTTCTGAAACCTCTCCCAAAGAGAGAAATGATCATTTAATTATTTTAGTTACTTTAATATGATTATGTCTGCTGTTCATCTAAGCCGCTGAGTTTTTATATCAGAATGTTAGCAGACATAATCAGCTTTCTGTAGGACATCACTCTTAAAAATGTGTGATAACTATTTTTGAACCTTTTAATGGATGGTTGGAGCAAAAATCTGCACCAGCTGGGGTCTGAGAACCAGTTTGAGAACGACTGTTTCAGAGAACCATTTTTGTCAAATGAGAAGTGTCAGTGTGAGGAACCTTTTAAACGTTTAAAGAATCTAGATGTTCCAGAAAGAACCCTCAAAAAGGTAAATGATTTCGTACACGTCTCTTTTACATACTTGGTTCTTTCGGGAGCTAAAATGGTTCTCCAGTGTCAGTGGTCCTCAGGACCCCCTAGATGGTCCACTTGAGCAAGTGCTTGCATTTGTCCCTTTGTGTCGTGCATGAAATGAAGGTTGTATTGAGTCACAGAAGGTCCACTGTGGCTGATTTCCAGGGTTATTTTCCACATTGTTTGTGTATTGTCGGTTCTAACACTCCTGACTCGACTCGTCAGCTCATTAAGACGCCCTGTGAAAAGGCAAAATGAAGATATCACTGTAGGAAAAGACTAAAACATGCTGGACAGGTGGACAGGACCAAGATCCGACACCTCTGACCTGTAAGCTGCTGTTACATTTGCTCTTACTGATCTCTGGATGACTTTACACCGACCTCTGCTCTGTGATAATGACTGTCTAATCATCTGCGTAAGATAAGAGGCCGACGTTTAGGGAGCGAGATGACCTGTGAATCGGAAAAGGGCAGTATAACTCAGATAAGTGTAATATAATGGAAGTGAGCCAAAGGTACTGGATGGAGCTCCATCACTCCAGAGAACGCAGCTCCACTGCTCCACAGCCCAATGCTGGGGGGCTTTATACCCCTCTAGCCCACTTTAGTCACTTAAAGCTGCCCAGTTCCTCCAGCAGGTGGAGCTAGAGAGCAGCTAGAGCTAAGAGCAAGCAGGTCCTACAGACTTAATCCTTAGTAGCCTAGAGTTATTATTGTGATTTTGCAGTGCTATTTTAATGTAATTATGTACTGAATTACATAATTAGATATGTAATGAATTGTATTTAAATCATATCGATAGGTTTGAGTCTGCACTTCCAATTTTTCCTATCAAAAATTCCAAAAAACAGCAAAAAAAACAAGTCTGCACAGCACTACACACACTTTATACCCCTCTAGCCCACGCTTAGCATTGGGCATGGAGACCTTGGGCTCATGTGTTACATAAGCAGACATGTGATATTAGTTTGAACTGCGATTGAAAAGTGAAAGGTAAGCTGGAGGAGTGCTCTCACATGCGGTCATGTTCTTTGGGTCAACTGTTAGATCTGTCTTGCAGTTTAATGAAGCAGGATTCAGGAAGCTCCACAGTGAATGGTTTTAAGGAGGGATGAACGGAAAGGTTGGCGCTGATGGCACCCATAAGTGACAGGGTGCACTGATGACATCACAATGGCCAGTAAGTGACAGGCTGCATTGATGACATCACCATGACCCATTAGTGACAGCCTGCACTGATGACATCACAATGGCTTATAAGTGACAGGCTGCACTGATGACATCACAATGGCTTATAAATGACTTTCTGCATTGATGACATCACAATGGCCACCTGGAGACACTCTGCACTGATGACATCACAATGACCCATACATGACAGGCTTCACTGATGACACCACGATGACCCATAAGTGACCGGCTGCACTGATGACATCACAATGGCCCACACGTGACAGCCTTCAGAGATGACATCACAATGACCCATTGGAGACGTTCTGCACTGATGACATCACAACGGCCCATTGGAGACAGTCTGCATTGATGACATCACAACAGCCCATTGGAGACAGTCTGCACTGATGACATCACAATGGCTTATAAATGGCAGGCTGCATTGATGACATCATAATGGCCCATTAGAGACAGTCTGCACTGACGACATCACAATGACCCATACATGACAGGCTACAGTAATGACATCATAATGACTCAGAAATGACAGTCTGCATTGATGACATCATAATGGCTTACAAGTGACAAGTTTTTATGGTGACATCGCCAATGGCCCATTGGAGACACACTGCACTGATGACATCACAATGGCCCATTGGAGACACACTGCACTGATGACATCACAATGGAGACTAGAATTTCAATCACACTGGATATTCCACCTAGTAAGCAAATGGGAAAAATGCAAAACTTTAACTTTCAATATTTCCTGAATTCAAAGTCTAATAAAAAAAAAAGAAGAAAAAAATTGTTGACAAGTTTGAGTTTTGCGTAACTCAGGTGATGAAAACATCAGATTCGTGCCTCGTATGTTTACTCTTTAGAAGATAAATACAGGTGATAAGATCCTTTTACTGAGTTCGAAGGTTAGCAGAAAGCTCACAAATCAGCACTATATAAACTGGACTGGGTGAGATTAGAGATTAGTAGCATTTCCCAGCATATCTGTTCCTAAAACATGGCTCAGCACGAGTACAAACAGCTCAGCGACAAGCTCTTCACCTACAGAGGAATGGTCTACCCTCTGGTCGATACACATGACCAGACCCTCATGTACTTGGACAATCTGGAGGCGTTTGAGATCAGGGATGATGATGTGTTTGTGGTCACCTTTCCTAAATCCGGTGAGTGAGATGTTTGGCTCAGTGCTGCTCTCTGAATATCTCCACTCGACTCAGTCGATCACGATACGACCTGGACCAGCTAAGGCTTTTTGTGTGTGGACGAGCCAGTGGACCGGTGATGGTAGATGGTGCTCATAATGATTTGATTAAAATGACCTGTTATTTAGTATGTCTGCATTCTGTATACTCTATGCATCATGTAGTCTAGAAGGTTCCGCATATCCCCTAAGGGAGTTCATAGTGTGATTGCATCACAGATAGCAGAGGAAAGGTTATGTTTTCCACACTGCTGGTGCTATTTTGAAATCAGAAATGTATTAGTGCCACATATGTTTACTCTTTAAAAGATACATATGAGATAGAAGATAAGAGAACTTTACTGAGATCAAAGGTTAGCTGTAAGCCCTCCAGCCGGTGCCATATAAAGTCAGTATATGTGAGTTTAAAGGAGTTCAGCTCAGCTCATCCCAGATCTGCAGGTCCATTTCCCTGAAAGCATGGCTCAGCAAGAGTACAAGGAGCTCAGTGACAAACTCTTCACCTACAGAGGAGCGGTTTTCACTCTCGATGATAGATATTACCTGACCCCAGAGTACCTGGACAGTCTGGAGCATTTTAAGATCAGAGATGACGACGTCTTTGTTGTCACTTTCCCTAAATCTGGTGAGTGGGATGTTCTGTTGGATGGATCGGCTAGCTACCATTCAGGTGGCTTTGTTCTTTATTTATGTGCTTTTATTGTGAACCTAATGAATATATGGTGGATGTACATGTTCACAAACAGTTATTGGCAAAAAAAGGCACTTACAGTGCTTTCCAAAAATATTGGCACCCTTGAAAAATTTGAGCAAAACAGGTTGTACAAAAATCTTTAACACTTATCATTTTTGATCTTTCGCTCAAAGTATTAGCAAAGAGCTAAACTTTTTTTGGAGTACGGTGATTGAAAAAAAACAAAATCTTATCAGGAAATAAATATTATTCTCAAATCTGTTCATTTTACATTTTCTGCAGCCTCCCTTTGCAAAGATACCAGCTCTGGGTCTCTCCTGTAACAGTTAATGAGACTGCAGAACACATGGCACAGGATCTGAGATCGTTCCTCGATACAGAACCTCTCCAGATCCTTAAGATTCTGAGATCCACACTGTGGACTCTCCTCTTCAGCTCTTTATCCCACAGGTCTTCTGTGGGGTTTAGGTCAGGGGATTGGGGTGGCCATGGCAAAACCTTAATTCTGTGGTCAGTGATCCATTTTTGGATCATTGTCCTGCTGGAAGATCCAAACTATGGCCCGGTTTAAGCTTTCTGGCTGAGGCGGTCAGGTTTTGATTTTATTTTTGCTGGTATTGATGGAGTCTGTGATGCCGTGCATCTGAATAAACTGTCCAGGGCCTTTGAAAGAAAAACAGCACCACAGCATCACAGATCCACCACCTCTGGTGTCTGTTACCAAAAACCTCTATTTTGGTCTCATCTGGCCGCAGAAAACATTCCCACTGAAAGTCCCAGTAACATTGGCAAATTTTAAGAGCTTGAGTTTGTTGTCTTTGACACCTGGTTCTAGTTTTCAGATCCTCCATAAAGGCCTTCATTACCTGGATCAAGTGTGTCAGAGTTGGAGCCAAGCTCTGCAGGGTGGTAGATCTCCAGGACCAGGACTGAGCACCTCCGATGTAGACAGTGTAGAGTTTTATCCTGCCTGACGAAGCCCCAGTTGTGTAGAAATGCTATTTGGCATTCAGAAAGGTGTGCAGGCATTCTCTGCTTTCTATGACTATTTTTATAAGTACCTATTCGCAAGAGGGTCAGTGACGATTCTAGGACTGTATAAATGAGGTGGCTATTGGGTTACCATGGCAATATTATGTGAAAAAATTAAGTATAATTATCAAAAATGACCCAGGGAATTTCTGGGGCTCAAAGATGACCCAACTATTGATCAAAATGACCCAGAAAAGAGGTTTCTTTTTCACCAGCTTCGCATTAAAATGTTCCATTCGACCTTAAGTGGTGCAGCAGTTACCTTCGGTACAGTAATAAGACTTAGAAGCAAAGCAGTGCTGCAACATTTAAGGTGCAACAGGTCAAGTCAAAGTTTATTGTTATAGCGCTTTTTACAACAGGTGTTGTCGCAAAGCATCTTTACATCAAAATCTGGGTCCGGGTCCCCATGAGCGTCGCCAGTGGTGACAGTGGCAACGAAAAACTCCCTAAGAGCAAAAGGAAGAAACCGTGAGAGGAACCAAGACTCAAAAGGGGAACCCATCCTCCTCTGGACCACACTGGATAGCAAACAATAACAGCAGAGAATGAGGTTTGACCATCAGTATACGATACAGTAAAGGGGGAAAGCAGGAGAAGCAACGTCTATGATTAAAAACTGGTGTGCGTAAAATCAAAAAAGCATTAGACCTTGGGTTTGATGACCTTTGACAAAAGATTTGACAAACTCATCTGTGTTGACAGAACACCTAACCTTTACTAGCGGCTGGCAAGGCTCCGTTTGCTCACAAGTTATATCATGACATCGTGGCAAAGACTGTGTTTAAACAGGCCGGTCAACAGCGGGAGAGTAGCGTAAGTGGGACAAATACCAAAGCATTTACTCTTGTTGACCTGAATGACCTGAATGGTGATTCTACATAAGTTTGATAGGAGAAATGAGCAGAGAATAACCTCAACACTGCTTCCAGTTACAATGCAAAGCTGGATTATAAAATAACAGTCATTAGTAATATATTAGCCTAAGGGGACTCTGCGTAAATACGTGGGGGACATGGTAGCCAGTTACATGAATGAAAGGGGCCAATCAGATTTCAGAGACTGCCAGCTGCTACCGCGACCACGCCTGCCTTAGCACTGGACACCGCAGCTTTCCTCCAGGGTTATTTTCCATATTTTTGTGTAACACCTTGTTAAACACACCTGGCCTGACTCCTCACACCCTTCATAACAGCAAAATGGAGAAATCATTATAGGACAACCCTAAAACCTGCTGGACAGGTGTGTAGAACCACGACTGGACACCTCTGACCTATAAGCTGCTGTTATATTTGCTCTTCTATGCTGATCTCTAGACGACTTCATTGACATCTCTGCTCCGTGGCAATGACTGCCTAATCATCTGTGTGAGATAAGAGGCAGATGTATGGGGACGAGCTGGCGTGCGAGTTGGAAAAGAGCAGTATAATTCAGTAATAACTGTGATATAACAGCAGTGAGAGTGAGTGAAGGAATGTTTGAGTAACACTGATTTCGCAAGTCTTACTCAACTGTTTCATTTAAGCTCTTTATGTGCAGATCACCAGGCTGATCACTCACATCGTCACCCCTGTGTTTAGCCTGTGTGTGATTGCAGGAGGTGTGTCAGAGGCAGCAGGACACCGACCAATCACAAGCAGATACAGCTGACACTGACACAGCAAGTTACGGTTTAATGTTATAGTTGGAAATGTTTCAGTCTTGGACAAGAATTGAATTATATCGGTCTCGTCTCTGTCTCAACATCATTTGGACTCTGTCTTGTCTCAGTCCCGATATCATTTGGACAGTTTTGTCTCAGTCCCAACACCATTTGGACTCAGTCTTGTCTCAGTCTCAACATCACTTGGTTTTGGTCTTGTCTCAGTCCTGATATCATTTGGACTTGGTCTTGTTTCAGTTCAGACATCATTTGGAATCAGTTTTGTCTCAGTCTGGACATAATTTGGAATCGGTCTTGTCTCAGTCTGGACATAATTTGGACTCGGTCTTGTCTCGGTCTGGACATAATTTGGACTCGGTCTTGTCTTGGTCTGGACATCATTTAGACTCTGTCTTGTCTCAGTCTGGACATCATTTGGAATCGGTCTTGTCTTGGTCTGGACATCATTTAGACTCTGTCTTGTCTCAGTCTGGATATCATTTGGACTCGGTATTGTCTCAGTCTGGACATCATTTGGAATCAGTCTTGTCTCAGTCTGGACATCATTTGGACTCGGTCTTGTCTCAGTCTGGACATCATTTGGAATCAGTCTTGTCTCAGTCTCAATATCATTTAAACTTTTTTCGGAAAGTTAGAGATTTTTTTCTACTATTTTTGAATATAAACAAAACCTTCAAACAGAATAAAACAATCCTTTCTTTAAATAATCTGTTCGCTACTGATTGAAGATCTAATTGATATTTCCTTGATGGCATAACTGAGTGTTATTTGTTTGTTGATATTGATTGGTTCCAGAATTCAAACATCCCTTAAGTGCAGACAGGAATATCATTATTACTGTGTTCTTACTTATAATAAAAATGGATGTGTGTGGTTTGGTTTATATTCAGTTGATTTTAGGTGGTGATTCTACATAAGTTTGATAGGAGAAATGAGCAGAGAATAACCTCAACACTGCTTCCAGTTACAAAGCAAAGCTGGATTATAAAATAACAGTCATTAGTAATATATTAGCCTACACGTTATTTGATGCTACATTTTACAAACTATATCATAAAATATCTTATTACGTGATTAATATGTATCATAAATAATGAAAGATAATGAATGTACAATGAACTACAAACAAATTAAGGTTTTTTCTTCTTTCTTCATTTTATTTTATATTCTGAAAACATCTTAATCTGGTCTTGGTCTTGACGTGGACTTGTCTCTAGGGGCTGTGGGGGACACTCTCTTTATATCAGATGTGCTGTAGAACAAGATGAAGCTGCAGGAAATCTTTCAGGGCTAGAGCTGTGATCTTTCTCTTTTCTTCTCTTCCTCCTTTCATCTGTCCAAATCCTGCCATCTCAGGGACGGTGTGGACGCAGCGGATCATGACTCTGCTGTATGAGGAGGATTTCCCAGAGTCAAAGAATCAGATGACGCTTGAGCAGATGCCGTGGCTGGAGTTTCTGCAGAAAGGACATGATTATAACACCCGTCCATCACCCAGACTCTTCTGCTCCCACCTGCACGAGCACCTGATGCCCCGCGGCCTGCAGGGGAAAGGCAAGGTCAGTTAGTTCAGGAGACCACTTTATCAGAAACCCCTCTAATGTAGCGCCACATTGCTGGTGTTCATTTAGAGACTGTAGACCCGCTGCTGATGCACAGTTTCAGTTATTGATCCTCCAGCTCTTCATCAGTGGTCAGATTCTGACTACAGAGGTGCTTTTGTCTGGATATTTTTGGTTAGTGGTTAGCCAGTTAGTGGACGAACAAGGTGAGTGTTTCTAATAAAGTGGCCAGTTAGTAGATGAACAAGGTAGGTGTTTCTAATAAAGTGGACAGTTAGTGGACGAACAAGGTGAGTGTTTCTAATAAAGTGGCCAGTTAGTGGATGAACAAGGTAGGTGTTTCTAATAAAGTGGCCAGTTAGTGGACGAACAAGGTGAGTGTTTCTAATAAAGTGGCCAGTTAGTGGATGAACAAGGTAGGTGTTTCTAATAAAGTGGCCAGTTAGAGGACGAAAAGGGTTGGGATTTCTAATAAAGTGGCCAGTTAGTGGACGAACAAGGTAGGTGTTTCTAATAAAGTGGCCAGTTAGTGAAAGCACAAGGTTGGTGTTTCTAATAAAGTGGCCAGTTAGTGGACGCACAAGGTAGGTGTTTCTAATAAAGTGGCCAGTTAGTGAAAGCACAAGGTGGGTGTTTCTAATAAAGTGGCCAGTTAGTGAAAGCACAAGGTAGGTGTTTCTAATAAAGTGGCCAGTTAGTGAAAGCACAAGGTAGGTGTTTCTAATAAAGTGGCCAGTTAGTGGACGAACAAGAGAGGTGTTTCTAATAAAGTGGCCAGTTAGAGGACGAAAAGGGTTGGGATTTCTAATAAAGTGGCCAGTTAGTGGAAGCACAAGGTGGGTGTTTCTAATAAAGTGGACAGTTAGTGAAAACACAAGGTGGGTGTTTCTAATAAAGTGGCCAGTTAGTGGACGAACAAGGTAGGTGTTTCTAAAAAAATGGCCAGTTAGTGGAAGCACAAGGTGAGTGTTTCTAATAAAGTGGCCAGTTAGAGGACGAACAAGGTAGGTGTTTCTAATAAAGTGGACAGTTAGTGAAAACACAACGTGGGTGTTTCTAATAAAGTGGCCGGTTAGTGGACGAACAAGGTAGGTGTTTCTAATAAAGTAGCCAGTTAGAGGGCGAACAAGGTAGGTGTTTCTAATAAAGTGGCCAGTTAGTGGATATCTACACACTACTGGTAGAACTATTACAGACATTTACAGACTCTGATGCTGCTTGTCTTCAATCCCAGATCATCTACGTCACCAGGAACCCCAAAGACATCATGGTCTCGTACTTCCACTTCTCTAAGATCATGAAGAAGTTGGAGTGTCTGGACACGTACAACGACATGCTGGACAAATTCTTCACTGGATGGAGTGAGTCGTTTTCACACCTCACACTAAATCTCTCTTTCAGTCTTCAGTCTTCTGCTACGTTGGTGTGGAATCAGCCAGACTTAGCTAATTTCTGCTTCATCACTAAGAATCTAGAGTGGTGAGAAGTTCAGCTGAATCCAGTTTAATCCGGTTCATCCTGCAGGAGTTACCTTAGTAATTCAGTTATCCTGCAAACAATGACACAGAAACATGAGGTCAATCAACCCCAACTCATCTGCAGGCCGTCTGGCCACATCATGGATTTCACTGAACAAAGTCAAGCAGAAACCTTAATTTAACCCAATCAACCATCCAACATTTCAAAGATGTGCTGTGATTGTTTTATTAGTTTAATGTTAAATTATAAGGCATCTTAATTACTGAGTGTCACTGTTTACAGAGCTGAGCTGAAATATTAACACTATTAATACAACAATAAAAATAATATTCAGTTTTAAATCAACTAGTTTTGTGGTGATGAATTACAACATGTTCATTTTTTGTAAGATGTACTTTTTATGTTCATTTTGTAAAAACAAATCATATTCCTACATTTCCATCAAATCTATGAATTATAGATACATCATGGATTAAAACTGAGGTCTTTAATAAAGCAAAGGGTTCTGTATAGGTGAAATATGGTTCTTTGCATGGTGAAATGGTTCTTCAGACTGATGAAGATAGCTTTAGATGGTTCTATTTTTCTATATAGAGCCTTTTTGAAAAGGGTTCTGTATAGCACCAGTTTGATAGCCTAAGAATAGAAGAACCCTTTTTGGTGCTATACAGAACCATATACAACACATTCTCCATCAATCTGAACAAACATTTCACCATGCAGAGAACCATTGAAACATGCAAATGGTTCTTTGAGTGATCATGGTTCCACATAGAGCCATTTTCTTTAGTAAAGAACCCTTGAAGAACCATTTATTTTAAACACACTTTCTGCAGCATTGTAATAGTTAATTGGTAAATCCAACATTTTCCTCTTTACAGCTGTTATTTGTTGTTTTTCAAGTGCATCATATTAATCAGACACAGAATATTAAAGTTTATAGTTTAAAGTTTGAAATACGATTTTCCTCCTCTGTGAAAATAAATGGATTTTTAGTGGTGAAACTGATTTGAACTGATGATGCAGCATCAAATATTATAAGCAGAAATGATAAAATGTATATTTTTGATCAAAACTTTGGAAAACTATATAAAACATTTCGAACATTGACTGAAAGATCAAACATTAAGATTAAATATAAATATAAAGTACATTCTGCAATAAATAAACCTGATGGGGAAAATTAGTAACATGAATTCAGATGATTTAACGTGAATTTAGCGCTGCATTTATGCCCAGTTAGTGTTTCAGCTCAGTTCAATCGTTCTGTAAGCAGTTAAGCTCACTGAGCTGTTTACCTGCACTTAATAATCCGATACCTGCAGAAAATCAGATTTTGTCGGTAATCCGATCAATGCGTTTACTTGCACTTGGGTAATCAGATAATGGAGAAACTCCAGATCTACATGAGTCAGACAGTAATCAGATTTCTGCTTTACAACCAGCCAATAAACTCACAGAAGAAGACGAGACATAAACGTAGCGTGAAACTCAAACTCTGCGTTTTTAAACATCACACGGCTTTACCTGAAAATACGAACTTACATCATCTAGAAGATGAAGAATATTTAAATCCTTCATTTCACGCTTGGTTTCAGCGTCGCTCCAAAAGTGTTTTGCTGTGTCTCTATATTGCTTATTTCCGGTACCGTCGTCTGTTTCCGCACATGCTCAGACTGAGAAATCCGAAAGAAATCAGAGTAAGAGTTCACACTGAGAAATTTGATTACTGAGCTGAGATCCAGCCTCTTTATCAGATTTCTTAATTGGATTTCTAGATCAGAGTATGGTGTTTACATGACCATTTGAATAATTGGATAACTGCAGAAATCTGATTATGATCGGATTATTAAGTGCATGTAAACTTATTAGAGCAGAGCTTTGGAATTTCACACAGTTCTATAAGCTAAATTGATGTTTTTGCATTGACCCTTAAATCACCTATAAATATTAATGTATAATGTACAAATATAAGAAGTTATAGAAGGAATAAGTTAATGAAAATCAGATTTACTAAATTTCTCCAAATGTAGTCGATCAGTGGTGCTAGTGGCTAAAGTTAGCATTAGCAGTGTTTGCTGTTCATCTCCTGTGCAGTGGTGGGCGGCTGCTGGTTTGACCACGTCAGAGGATGGTACACCAACAGAGACAAATACAACATTCTGTTTCTCAGCTACGAGGAGATGATCAAGGTGAGGCTTTCAGCACAGCTTAAATCCAGCGGTTCTTATGCTAAGTAGATATTAGAAAATTTCACATTAGCTCCTTTAAACACTTCAATTTCCAGTCAAATCAGCAAATCCTTAAGAGATATCTGTGAGGACATCAGATAGAAGATAATCCACCTGAATGAGGTAGGAGTTTCCAAAACTGGAGCTCAAAACTGATTAAAAAATAGAGAAAATGGGTCTCCTAACAACCACCTGGAAGAGCTGGTCGACCCCAAAACTGCCCCCATCAGATAAACAGCACTTAAAGCTTTCATCTCTGAGAGAGAGGAGAAAATCAAGCTGATCAGATCTGAAAACATCCACAGGTGTTTCTGTCCATCCTTCCACTGTGAGAAGACGACTCAGCGCTGTGGGTCTGAAAGGATGTGTAGCTGATCAAGAAGAACCTCACTGAGAAAAGCAGATGAGAACGTCTGACCTAGAACACTGAAACTGGACAGTTGAGATGTGGAGTGAGGTTTTACAGACTGATGAGTCTGAATTTGAGATCTTTGGCAGCAACAGAAGGAAGTGTGTTCACAAAGAAGGACTCTTCAAAGTATCAGTCAAGCCACAGGCGTTACAAAGGAGGAGGAGACGGTCACTGGCTGAAATATGAGTGGGAAAGCTTGTTACTCTCAACATGGTGTCTGTTTACAGAGAAAATCCCGCCCTTCAGGAAAAAGAGCCAATCAGCTTGCCGGTTAGACCATGAGGGGGAAAGCCCCCCTCGTTGTGGAGATCCGTTCAAGCACAGAAGCCAGGATGACCCGAAAAATCATTACAAACTCTTTACGAGGTTTTTGCCAGATTTCATCAGTGATTTCAAATCACAACATTTTTAAACTGTAATTTGACCTTCAGACTGGAGTATTTTGGTCTCTCCTCATTTAGAGAGAGAAGTCTGGTCTTGTAAGGCTGGAAATAACTGCCACCAAGTGAACAGACTCTCCTGTAAGGGCTTCGGTCAAGCACGTGGAGAATCAGCACCAGTTTAGGGACGGAGAACATTTGTTTCTGATTGAAGGAGCTGATAAAAACAAACTAATTCTAACACATCATGCAGTATTTCCTCAAAAATGTTTGATTGGGAAGAAATCAATTCTACAGCAAAGATAATGTCTCCAAGCAGCCTGCTGAAAAGGTCAAGACTTATCAAACAAAGAAGCTGAACGATGGACTGACCACCCCAGAGTCCAGACCTCAACACCACTGAATGTGTTTGATTACTTCAGAAAATCATCAACCAGCTTCTAAGACTGAACTTTGGAGGTGTGTCTGCAGATTCTTTGAGGAGCTGAAAGTGAGTCTCCTGAAAATAGAAGCTGGAATAAAGGCAAAGAGTGACTCACTGACTCACACAGCTGGGATTAGATGTAGTTGCTGAGGATTCTGGGTAATTTTCAGTTGAATATGAGTTTTCTGTTTTTTCCTGATGCTGAAAGTGAGTAACTTGGACTTATTGGCTGTTTTGACTGGAAATGAAATAAACGAAGGGTCTCTAATTTGTACAGTGCTGTAGGTGAACTATCACAGCGCTAACTGACACTCATGGTGTTTGTGTTTCAGGACCTGAGGGCTGCGGTGGTCCGGATTTGTGAGTTTGTGGGGAAGAACCTGTCGGACGCTGCCATCGACAGTGTGGTGGAGAGAGCCAGCTTCAACTACATGAAGGAAGACCCCAAAGCCAACTATGAGTTCATACCTGAGAGCGACAAGGTCCCCGGGAGGGGGAGTTTCCTCCGCAAAGGTAAGAATTTCACAGTTATGCTGGAAATATACAGTATTGTATCTTAGCAACAAGCGCAATAACAATGCAGTGCATCTGTTAGACATAACTCACGTTATCTCATGCTGTCATTTCTACTGACGGGCTGCTTATAACGGAAAATATCGCTGTGCAAAAGTCAGAGACCACCAGTCAAAACAGCCATTATAATCCCAGCTGTGAGAGTCAGTGAGTCACTCTCCCTTTATTCCAGCTTCCATTCTGTTCAGGAGCCTCACTTTCAGTTCCTCAAAGAATCTGCAGACACACCTCCAAAGTTCAGTCTTAGAAGCTGGTTGATCATTTTCTGAAGTAATCAAACACATTCAGTGGTGTTGAGGTCTGGACTCGGGGGTGGTCAGTCCATCGTTCAGCTTCTTTGTTTGATGTGTCCGTCTCCTTTTCTCAGTGAGGTTCTTCTTGATCAGCTACACATTTTTTTCTCCTCTCTCTCAGAGATGAAAGCTTTAAGTGCTGTTTATCTGATGGGGGCAGTTTTGGGGTCGTCCAGCTCTTCCAGGTGGTTGTTAGGAGCCTCGTTTTCTCTGTAGCTTTTAATCAGTTTTGAACTCCAGTTTTGGAAACTTCACTTAATTTCCTTTGACTTTCTCCGTCTTTCTGCGAGTGGATCATCTGATTTCCTCACAAATATGTCCTGACACATGAATGATTTGTACTTAAAGGCTGTTTTGACTGGAATTTGTATAAATGATGAGGGTCTCTGACCTCTGCACAGTGCTGTGTATGAGGTCAGTGTGTAAGTGCCTGCTGTTCTGCTGTTGTAGGTACAGTGGGAGACTGGAGAAACTCTCTAACGGTGGCGCAGAACGAACGCTTCGACCGAGTGTTCCAGGAGAAGATGAAGGACGTCCCTCTGGAGATTGTGTGGGACCTCACTGAGCTAAAGGGCTGAAACTCAAACTCTGATCATGCCTCACTTTATACTTACAGGAATAACTTGGTAAAAAAATCACATGTACTCAATTCTCCACTTTTCCAGATGGTTCTTCAAGGGTTCTTTTGTGAAGACAGTGGTTCTACATAGTGAACCACATGGTGAAATCATTCTTCAGACTGATGGAGAACGAGTCGTGCACCAGTTTAAATCACCATGATAGAAATCCATTAGTCTATTAGTCCTGTTAACCATGTGGGCTATCATAGCAACCACCAGCTATTACCTAGCAACCACAAGGGACACCATAGAAACCACATAGCAACACTTGAACAGCCACCAAGCAACACCCTGGCAATCATTTATCACCACCTTTGCCACTACCTCAAATTCCATAGTAACCGTTCAGAACCTTTTTGAAAAGGGTTCTATATAGAACCAAAAAGCGTTCTTTTATTGTATACAAGCTTGACATCGTAACAGAAGCAGAACCCTTTTTGATGCTGTATAGATCTATATACAGCACATTCTGCATCAATCTGAAACACCATTACACCGTGGCATGCGAAGGGTTCATGGTTCTATCTAGAACCACTGTCTTACTAAAAGAACCCTTGAAGAACCAAAAAAGAACTTTTTTAAGAGTGTCAATCAGCCAAGACATGTTTGGTGACCAAATTTTGATTCTTAAGCTTAACACTGGAGCTGCAAAGCTAATGATGCTAACACTAGAAGTCAATAGTCACCCAAATCTTTTCTGTAAATGGATCTCCAGATCTTCCCTTAGCTCTGTCGAACTCGCACCCAGGTCTTCATTACAGTGGGACCGAACTGAAGATTCATGAATAGAAACAACAGAACCCTGCAGAACAGTCACTGCGTCCTAAACCACGTCTGCACCACCTTAATGACGAGCTGGATGTGAGTCTGACTGAGCTGAGAGCAGATCTGGAGGTGTATTTACAGAAAAGATTTGGGTGACTATTGACTTTTAGTGTTAGCGACATTAGCTGCATGGATACTAAGCATGTCCTGGCTGGTCTACATCTGGGGGAGGTGGAGAACTCTGCACATTTGATTTTTCATTGTTTGCAAACTGTATAAAATATTTGTTTTCTGAACCTCTAAGATTAGTAGAGCAGTAATCTGCATATTCTGTTCATAAAGATCAACAAAATCTTAATCTGTCAGTTCCCCATAAAGTCCATTTACAGGTTTATGATATAAAATTGTACGTCAACATTCACCACATGTTTAGATTAAATGTAATGACCCCACATGCTAATTCTAGTACCACATACTCAATCAAAGTCACATTAAGGCTAAAGGTCTCCAGTGTATTAGCACTGTCCAATAAAACCATCTGCACAAGCAGCCATTCAGCCTCACTCTTCTGACCAGCACCACCCGACACCCGACAAAGGCAACTGCTTTAGCTGCACAATCACTGCATTTTCTACAAGAAATGAACTTTTCTAGTTCAGATTGAAAATATGTATTACTCATATTCTGCCATCCTGTTCTATAATATAAGATTTTTGGTTTTCCAGATGTGTGCATAAGACTGTATACATATGGTTATGAATGTAAATAGTACAACACATATATCAATTATAACTGTAGTGCTATATATATATATATATATATATATATATAAAATTCAAGCCTGACACTTTATGATATGTGTGCATATGTTACCATACATCAGGTTTCCATGTGGGTTTTGTCACCACAGTAACATACTTTTACTACATGAAGTGTTTAAAGGAAATGTCAATCGATTTCCCCAAAATTCTGCATAATTAATTGGTTAAGCTGTAAACAGAGTCATTCAGAGTGGTTTGCTGTGGGTTCGCTGCTGTTTTAGCCTCATCAGCACTGCATATAAACAGGGCACTGAAACATTGCTGAACAGTGCAGCACAGTTAAGAAGGGGGAAAACAATCATAAAATAAATAAATAGATAAAAATGCAGTTTAATGAGTTTAATGATTTTTTACCTATCCTAATTTAATTTCTAATTTGATTTTTTATTCAATGATTTTCTCCGTTGTTTTCCGTTGTTTTAATCATGTTTTTACTTTCTTCACTCATTTATTTTACTTTTCTAAACATCTCTTTATTCTCCGGCGCTGTGTTCTCCCATTTATGACAGCAGTGTATAAAAGGTGCTATATAAATAAACTTGCCTTGCCTTAAGGTTATCAGTTTTGGGGCTTTTTATACTTTTCACTTTTTCAACAAATGAACCTCCATCTTTCACACAGTCTGTCGTTCATGTGGTTTGGAGACTTTTATTTTGCCACAGAGCCGGAAGTCAGTCCGGTTCCCGCAGCTGAGCTCGGTGTCGGCTGTCGAGCTTCGTCCGTGCTGAGTTTCGGTCAGACCGGTTAAACCGCGCGGATAAAGAGCGGAGGGTCCTGAAACAGCAGGGCGGAGGGGCAGAATGAGCGCTAACAGCATGGCGGACCCGCGGAGACAGAATAAGATATTCCGGTGAGTTTAATGAAGAAGGTTAACGGCTCGGACTGTAAACAAAGCTGCGGCTTCGCTACCGGGACACCGGGACACCGGGATCAGCGGCCTCGCTGACTTACTAAACAATAAAGGCGATAAACGGAGCGCTGCGACGCGGTTTTGGGTCATTTTACTCGTATTTTCTCGTGTTTTCTCATGTTTGCTCGTGTTTACTCGTGTTTACTCGTATTTTCTCGTGTTTACTCGTGTTTAATCGTGTTTACTCGTGTTTAATCGTGTTTACTCGTGTTTTCTCATGTTTACTCGTGTTTTTCGTGTTAACACTAATGCTAAACTACAACGAGCCTGGGCCTCGCCATCTTTAACAGTTAGACCAATCAGAGGCCGCAACGTCAGCGTATGGCGTCATCCATACTCATCCGGGCCAGTCAGAGACCGCGACGTCAGCGTAGGACGTCCTCGAGGTTGTAGCTCCTAATACTGTTAATAATGCTGTTATTAATACTGTTATTAATGGTGCTAAAACCGGCCGAGGACGCATTAATAAAGATAAGCTGCGTGTTTATGAGGGTAATGAATGGACATGGTGTGTTCAGTTAATTGGTGCAGGCTTAGCTGCATCAGTTTGGAGTGAGGCTGAATCAGATTATGAGGATTATTAATCCTGTAGTCTCTCATCGCCAGACCAGTTTCCATTCAGACATTCTGCGAATGTTATGTGCAGAAAAACGTGAATTAAGTCGTGTTTCCATCCTCCACAGTCATGAGAAGAGGCTTCAGATGCCGTAGGCTGCTGAGATCAGGCACTGCATCCAAACAGCTTTCAGAGATTTACCTGCTTTAACCCTTTAAACTCCTTGGGACCACCGGTGGTTCCAAAACGCACCTCGTCATATTCTTCATAACTTTTATATTTCATAAGCTGCATTCTAAAGGTGGGGGTCGTATGAGAGCTGTAACTGTCCTCTTTCCAGTCTAATAGATGGGTGATGTAATTTTAAACCCTTATAATAAAAGAAGCTGAAGTTTTTTTTTCTACTGAAAGTCGACCCATTTTTCCACAAATGTGGGCTATAAACTATAAACAGATGGCGTCTCTTCAGTGATCTGCTCTGGAAACATTATTTTTATAAAATAATACAAAAAGCGTCTAAGATTTTTGGCTTTCAGCAGTAAATTATAAGCATATAGCAATATGTGTATCATAAAACACATGTTCTGTTAATTTGAGTGAAGCTTTTACAAAAATAAATAAAATAAAAATGTACATTTATTTCATGCCGTTACTGAATAATTTGCCTCACGATTTGGTCATGAAAATTCAGATGGACAAACCAAAATATATCCATGAGCATAAGAGGTTAAGCAGAATCATCTTTACGGTCGTCTGCCGTCTTTTTATGGTCGTGTTTGTGCAGCTCAGAGGCGCCGGGCAGGACGAGCAGTGGCCACCTAATGTGGGCTGAAGTCTCCGTGCCCCCCCAACGACGTCCACCTCGCATCTGGGAACACAAACACACCACACAGTTCTGGAGCTCACTGTGCAGAGAACCAGCTTTTATTAGGCGTTTGAGAACCAGACCAGCCTTTAATAAGCTGTATTACACTATACGTCATTATTGTGATGAATTATGTCATAAGATGCTTTTCTGAGCGTGTTACGTGGATCGTCAGACACTGACCAACTGCATGTTTATCTATAAAGAGAGCAAAATTAGTCCTGTTTAACTGGGTTTTGGGCCAAATGCTGAATAAAAATCAGCGTTCACAGTTCTTTGTAGTATTTTTTTAAATGCAGCACTACTGGCTCTTTTTCTCTGTTCCAACTGATCAGATGTTTTAAAAAATAACTATTGAAAAACTTCTCCACCTCATCCAAGCGAAAATTTTGAGATATCTCAGACTTTTCCGTTCCGATTATTTTATTTTTTTTTGCATGTTCAAAGTTCGCAAGAACTCATTGGAAAACCCGCCACAGTGATGGCAGCTCTGGCTGAGGCTGGGCAATAAGACAATATTTATCGTTATCGTGATAAATTGAGTCACAGGATGTCACAGTGTGCATTTCGGATTATATCATGTTGTGGATGTTAAAACACTTTGCGAGTGCACGTTTGAGCACAGAGAGAGCGTTTTTAGTCCTGATGAACTGGATTTAGGGCAGCGCAGTGTGAGAGGTGGAACAGAAATCATCGTATTCATAGATTTTGATGTTATTTTGCGATTGTGATCTAAATTGTGATTGTTTTCTACAAATTGAGGTCCATAACTTTTTTTTTGTGCTGAGAAGCCCAGAATTTCCCCTTTTCTGGCTTGAGGCTTGACCGGTGTTAATGTTGGTACATAAACATTTGAGCCCTTCAGTGAAAACCATCCCGCCCTTTTTTGGATTATCAGTTATTTTCTTTTCTGTTTCATGTGCAAACATTTACATTAAAAAGCCAAAATGTGCTTTATTTCCTTTTTAATGACGCTTTTATGTTAAATACAGGGAATTGAACAATGTCACACCATGCTTATTATATCTGTTTTACCAAAAATGTCACACGTAGTGTGTTTCATTGCAAGGGCTCATATATTAATGTATAAATTGAGACTAAACCCACCTTCATTATCATTACAGAGGAATATAACATTTATTTATGTGACTTATTAACGCCATAAAATGATAAAATGCAGTCGTTTCAGTGCAGTAACCCAGCGTCACCTAAACTCTCTGCTCTTCTAACTACTGGGAAAATTTGAGTGTTGGGTGATCTTTCCCTTTAAACATGTTCTAAAGCAGGTTTTGTTTGTTTGTGCAGCTACAAGCCCCCCAGCACAGACTCCAACCCCACGCTGGAGGACCCCACCCCAGACTACATGAACCTGCTCGGCATGATCTTCAGCATGTGTGGACTGATGCTCAAGGTGACCTGCAGCTTCAGACTGAGCGACTGAGAACGACGTGTTTCCACCAAAACAGTGACGTTTACGCGTTGATGCGGTTTTATCAGAGCGTCAGCTGTGCAGTCGGGTCTGTTTATCAGAGCTCAGATCACCAAACATGTACTGCGTGTATACATGTGCATATATACAGTGGTGTGCAAAAGTTTGCACACCCCTGGTCAGAAAGGGCCGTCCACATGAAGTGGCACAAATCTGGAATTGTACTGATTTTTCCAAAGCTTTACATAGTTGAGGCTCTTCACAGAGACACCATACATGGTCTGATAACATGGATCAGAGATCAGTTTAGAGATCTAGGAGTCAGGAGGAAATGAACTCCTCCGTTCTAGACTAGTCAGACAGTTATTCTGATAAACTGAGAGTGTGAGGCTGCGTTCACATTAGCAGGCTGAAGTGGCACAAATCTGATTTTTTTGCCCTAATGTGACTCAGATCTGATGTTTTCAGGGCTGTGTGGACACAAATCTAATCTTTTCAAATCCGACCTGAGCCACTTTCATATGTGGTCCTAGATCTGATACGTATCTGAATCGTGGCCGTGTGACCTTAATGTGACGCTCAGATCAGAATTCATGTGCTTTTTGCGCTGCGCCATCATTCAGCGTTACCATGGCAGCAGCGCCGAACAGAAGTTAAAGCCTGTAAACGGTGGAAAAGCAGCTCATCTCACCTTTTTCTCCTTCGTCTCGCTCTAATAATGAAGCTGAGAGCTGATCAGAGTTAATGATCTTCTCAGCGAAGCTCGTTCTGCTCGTTAGTTTGTGCTGATGATGAACGTGATTCATTCACGTGACGTTACTGAGTAGGATGAGCTCATGAGGGTCATTTCAGGACGCCGGTTCACATTAATGACAGATTCTAGTCGCTGACCTAAACGAGTGTGAACCATTGTGTCAGAGAGATCGGATCTGAGCAAAAAATCGGATTTGAGCAGCGAGGCTTGTAATGTGAACGTAGCCTGAGATCATGACTGTAGAACAAAGTCTGTGGGAACAGCGCCCCCTTTACTCTGGGTACGCTGCTTCAGGCAAAAGCCTGTGCTCGTCTGACGGTGCTGTAGAATTAAAATCTCTACAGCTGGGAGCTTTAAAAGGTGGAGTGTCCAGTGAACGGTCACTGGCGTGTGATAGGCAGGGGACTCTTTTGGGTCCGTTTCTGTCCCCAGAGAGATCTAAAAATATCAGTAAATTAAAGGGAAGGTGTATTTTAGTGTCTCCTCCCCCTGTGATTGTCAGAGTGATGCGCTGCAGGAGCTCAGCGTGTCGGCGCTGAGTTTAGAGCAGGACAGACACATCACCTGCAGTTAATCTGGACTGGACTGACCGACTGACTGACAGGACTAAATGTTTAAATCACAGATATTTTTGTTGCTGTACTGAAGTCTGACTGTCTGTGTGTGTCCAGCTGAAGTGGTGCGCGTGGATCGCCGTTTACTGCTCCTTCATCAGTTTCGCCAACTCGCGCAGCTCCGAGGACACCAAGCAGATGATGAGCAGCTTCATGTGAGTAGAACGTCCGTCTGTCTGCGTCCGTGTGTCTGATTAAAATCTCTGCATAATTAAACAGAGAGAGGTTCTCAGTTCTAGAGAACCTTACATTTTGGTCAGAGGTTCTGATCCACAGGTCATCATTCTCTGGACTGTGGATCAAATTTCCGGTCCTGGATTTTGGAACCACTGGCAGTGAACTGACCTGTGGATTGTGACTGATTGGACCGAAAACTGGATTTAGGATTTAGATCTCTGTTCTAATGTGTTTTGTCCAGTGAAGGAAGCAGAAAGACTACCGCACACAGTCTAAAGACTACTGCACACGGTCTAAAGACTACCGCATGCTAAGGCTACCGGACACGGTCTAAAGATTACTGCATGCCATCTAAAGGCTTCCGCACACTGTGTAAAGAATACAGCAGCCGTCTTAAGGCTACCACACACCATGTGAAGAATACTGTAGCTGTCTAATGGCTGTTTCCCAACTACTGAAATCATCTAAAGGTTACCACACACAGTCTAAAGACTACTGCTGATGTCTGCAGGCTGCTTCACAACTACTGCAGTCGACTAAAGACTACCACACACCATCTGAAGACTACTGCAGTCATCTTAAGGCTGCCTCACAACTACTGTAGAGCTGATATCTAAAGGCTACCGCACACTGTCTTAAGACTGCTGCACTCGGCTAAAGGCTTCCGCATACTTACGGCTGCAGCCGTCTAAACGCCACCGCACACTGTCTAAAGGCTACTGCAGCTGACTAAATGCTACCGCACGCCATCTGAAGACTACTGCAGTCGACTAAACACTACCACAACCATCCGAAGACTACTGCAATCATCATAAGGCTGCCTAACAACTACTGTACAGCTGATATCTAAAGACTACCGCACACCACCTGAAGACTACCCACTGTGTAAAGACTACTGCAGCCGTCTAAAGTCCGTGGTTCTCCGTAATGTGGGTTCTGTAAAGCCTTTATTCACTCCTTTCGTGGTGTAAATTTAAAGTGTGAGCTGTTTGGCATTAACTGGATTCTGTACTTCACTGTCTAATCTTTAATGCCCCTTTAATGTTCCTCAGTGTAAACATGGTTACAGTTATGGAGTTGTTGTTTTAACTGTATCTCTGTGTTCTTCTCCTCCAGGCTGTCCATATCAGCCGTGGTGATGTCGTACCTGCAGAACCCACAGCCCATGTCACCGCCGTGGTAACGAAGGTCGCGACCCCGGACTGAGCCACAGCAGCAGAGATGAGAGACAGAGAGACGCAGCAACACACATTATTAGGGAGAGAACTCTGTCCATCTGGCCCGGGAGGGACAGTGAGACTGGCCAGCAGTGAAGCATGACCACCTGACCTTTGACCGCTGTCTCTGGAGCCACTCGGAGTTCCTCTGGTCTCTCCGCGGCTCTGCGGAGATCAGCTGATATTGTTAATACACTGTAGATGCTAATATAAAATAAATGCCAGTTTTTTAACGTGAACTCTGACGTTTCTTGTATGGTGTCATTTTCTGGAAGGTTAGTCAGCAGCTTCACTTCAGCCTTTAGAATTTAGAGCTGACACTTTAATCTTTCAGCTTTTTTAAAGGTAATTAAATTATGCGGTCAGCTATATGATTAAGTACGTTCAGTCACCGTTCTGTATGGACGGGTTCAGATCTGCACTGCTGACTTCTTTTTCTTTAAAGTGTGACAAAAACAGCAAAAATGTAAAGGACTTTTTACATTTTGCTGAAAAAGTCTGTACACATCAATAACTTTACATCCAATTAAAATCATAATAAAACATCTCCTACTCACAAACACTTGTTGTGGTTTGGACTGAATGTTTAGAATTTGCACTCAATTTCTGCACTTGATTCAGTGAGCTGAGTCAGAAATAATTCATATAAATCAGCTGCTTTATTTTATCACCATTTGTAAACTAGACTTAGAGAAATTCCACTAATTTCTCAGAATTTTAAGTGGTTAAGATGTAAACTGAGTGGTTCAGAGTGGTTTGGTGTGAAACGCTCTGTTCTAGATAAACTTACCAAGTCAGAACTGTTGACTGAGACACTGTTTTATGATAGTTTAGAGAACTTAAACTCCATTCATGGTGGAGGGATACATGCAGGGCGCTGTGAGGCAAAATAGTCCCCAAAGAAAACTTATTATTTCAGATTTTCCACTATTTTCCATCATCAACATTCCATATAAACTCAGAAGACTCGTGTAGGTTCACTGGTGGTTCTGGATAGTAAATAAAATGTCTATATCTGTGTTGTAGTCATGGCGACCCCTGGTTCCTATCACCACCACTGTAAAGACATCTGAACCATTTCACACCAAACCACTCTGAATGACTTCATTGTCCACCCTATCAGCTCCACTGACCATATAGTTTCACTCTAGTTCTACAGTTACAGACTGTAGTCCATCTGTTTCTCTGCATACTTTGTTACCCTGTTCTTCAGTGGTCAGGACCCCCATGGACCCTCACAGAGCAGGTACTATCTGGGTGGTGGATCATTCTCAGCACTGCAGTAACACTGACGTGGTGGTGGTGTGTTAGTGTGTGTTGTGCTGGTCTGAGTGGATCAGACACAGCAGTGCTGCTGGAGTTTTTAAACACCTCAGTGTCGCTGCTGGACTGAGAATAGTCCACCAACCAAAAACATCTAGCCAACAGTGTCCTGTGGGCAGCGTCCTGTGACCACTGATGAAGGACTAGAGGATGACCAACACAAACTGTGCAGCAGCAGATGAGCTATCGTCTCTGACTTTACATCTACAAGGTGGACCGACAAGGTAGGAGTGTCTAATAGAGTGGACAGTGAGTGGACACAGTGTTTAAAAACTCCAGCAGCACTGCTGTGTCTGATCCACTCGTACCAGCACAACACACACTAACACACCACCACCACGTCAGCATCACTGCAGTGCTGAGAATGACCCACCACCCAGATAGTACCAGATAATGTATGTAAGAGACTTCAGTCTCAGGTGTTTCACTGCTTTGACAGAGTAACTCTTCACACTGTGCTCGCTCCACAGACGGTCTGGTCTGGTCTGTGTGGATTTGCTGGCTTTAGCTGGGCGTCCAGGCTGCAGCTCAGCTCTGCTGGACGTTCTCCAGGCCTGTCCCTCAGCGCTGAGGAGAATGAGCTGTAATTCTGTGCAGGATTCGATCCCAGCTGCTGCTCAGGAAGAGTTTCTTCCGCTCTGCGTCTGTCGCCGAGCGCTCGGTGACGGTTTAAACTGATCAGTCTGTCCTCGTCTGTTTGTCAGCTGGCAGTGAAATTCCTAAACATTTGGTTCTTGGTTTGGAAGCAGTCAGGATGGCAGTGTGGATTAAAGCTCATTCTGAACTAATTCAGCAGCAGTGTAGTGAAGAAAAATAACCACTAGGGGGCAAGTTAGGACCAAAATGATACTAAAGCTCACAGAACAACTCAGCCATAAAGTTTCTGGTAGAGTCACTTACCACTGTACTAGACAGATAGACAGATAGATAGATAGACAGATAGATAGATAGATAGATAGATAGATAGATAGATGGACGGACGGACAGAAAGATAGATAAATGGATGGACGGACGGACGGACGGACGGACAGAAAGATAGATAGATAGATAGATAGATAGATAGATAGACGGACGGATGGACGAATGGACAGAAAGATAGATAGATGGACGGACGGACGGACAGAAAGATAGATAGATAGATAGATAGATAGATAGATAGATAGACGGACGGACGGACGGACAGAAAGATAGATAAATGGATGGACGGACGGACGGACGGACAGAAAGATACATAGATAGATAGATAGATAGACGGACGGATGGACAAATGGACAGAAAGATGGATGGATGGACGGACGGACGGACGGACAGAAAGATAGATAGATAGATAGATAGATAGATAGATAGATAGATAGATGGATGGACGGACGGACAGACAGACAGAAAGATGGACGGACGGACGGACGGATAGATAGATGGACGGACGGACAGACAGACAGAAAGATAGATAAATAGATATAAATAATAGCACTATAGACTCCTCCCTCTGTGTAGGAGGGGAGGAGCCAAAGCACCACAGACTCCTCCCTCTAAGTAGGAGGGGAGGAGCCAAAGCACTATAGACCCCTCCCACTGTGTAGGAGGGGAGGAGCCAAAGTACCACAGACTCCTCCCTCTGTGTAGGAGGGGAGGGGCCAAGGCACCACAGACTCTCCCCTCTAAGTAAGAGGGGAGGAGCCAAAGCATTAATGGCTCATTCCTCTGACTAAGAGGGGAGGAGCCAAAGCACTACTGACTCATTCCTCTGACTAAGAGGGGAGGAGCCAAAGCATTACTGACTCATTCCTCTGAGTAAGAGGGGAGGAGCCAAAGCATTACTGACTCATTCCTCTGAGTAAGAGGGGAGGAGCCAAAGCATTACTGACTCATTCCTCTAAGTAAGAGGGGAAGCAGCTAAAGCCTGACTCCAATCAAGGGCACCCAAATCACTGCTGGCTCCTCCTCCTCCCTGTAAGGGGGCAGGACAACGTCCTGCTGACTCCTCCCCCTGAACGCAGAGCTGCAGTCATTTGTTTTTTGTTTTTAGGAAAGCGGCTGGGCTCTGCTGTGGGCGAGGGAGCCGAGCTGAGGCAGTGAGTGAGAACCGGAGCCGAGATTAATGGACGGGAGGACAGAGGAGTCTTAATGTGGAGAGGGTGAGCGTCACTGAGGAGACACAGAGGACTCTTTTCTCCAGTGAAGCTGAGGCAGGATGTCCCGGCTGTGAGGATGAGGATGAGGATGAAGAAACCATGCTTTACCCTCAGGTGTGTCTGTGATCCACAGGTGCTCTCATCAGGTAAGAAAGTTAGGAGGGGGTGAATTCAGGGTGACAAGTGTCCAGGAAAGGGGTTGGTCACCACCAGATATGGTGGTCACTAGTTAGATTTCCTCTGTTTTTGTGTACTAGATTTGTAGCAGAGCTCACAAACTAACATGGGTCTGAGGTCATTCTCTCTCGATCTGTCCATCTCCTCTTAATCTCCCCTCTAAAGGCTCTTCATATATCATGATCCTCATATGTTTCATATCTAAATGCTCCGTTATCTTCATCACTACTTTCCAAAACCGCTGCAGCAGCTTCAGCAGCTGTAAACTCTCTGCACGCCGTTTCACATGAGTCTCCGATGTGGACTGAATGAAGAATGAAGGGTTTCCGGCGTGATGGTCAGTCCTTAGTGATTTCCTGAGTGTCCAGTGGTCAGTTTCACACAGAATGTAGACGGACACACGAATCCACCAGTTCCAGTTTCTGTCCTGTTGGGCAGCATTTTGTAAATCGAACGAACCCACTTTACTAGCCTAATGCTGGTCCTGCATTGACCGTAAGGTTTTGTTGTTGTTTGGAGGTGTGGCGCCTGTTAAATAACACTGACATGAACATCCATATGCTGATGTTTGGATCTGGGCTGTCTGGGGTAATTTGGGGAGATTACACAGATTCTTTATCCAGTATGAATAAGCAATCAGACAGATTACGTTACCAGACCTACTATGAGAAAACTAATCCAGCTCCAAAAGGGATTTAGTTTGTGCCCCATGAACACTTTTACTGCACTGTAAAAAATGGAGTTTTACTTTAAAAAGCTTGTTTCCATGCTGCCTTAAAATTTCGAGTTATTTAACCCCTTAACGTTCCAGGCTTATTACATACTAAGGCTTATTATTCAGTAATTACAGTGACTCCAATGGAAACTAATGGAGCTATTCTTCGGTTATAGAAGTGTGTAATAAAGGCCCAGTGGGCCCATGGCTTGGTAACGGGGTTACATTTCAAATAATAGGTTGATATGGCATTAAACAAAGTCAAAACAACATTTCTTTTGTGGATGATGGGTTAATGGTGCTCTACACACCACTGATATGATGGTGCTGCTGTGTTTAGCTGTGCTAATGTCCTTTAGTCCCAGTTTACCGACAACATACAGAGTCAGAGACCAGTAAATCAACCCTATAAGAGATTCAATCCCTTATAGATGATTCTGAAACATCACCGTCGACTCCCACCTCCCATTTTAACTCATTACTCCCTCCCTCTCTCCATCCAGCCTCGTCTCCTCCTCCTTTGCTGCTCTTCTTCTCTCTCTCTCTCTCTCCCCTCTCCCTCCCTCCCCTCTCTCTCTCTCTGTCCCTTTCTCTCTCTCTCTCTCTCTCTCTCTCTCTCTCTCTCTCTCTCTCTCCCTCCCCTCTCTCTCTCTGTCCCTTTCTCTCTCTCTCTCTCTCTCTCTCTCTCTCTCTTACTCTCCCTCCCCTCTCTCTCTCTGTCCCTTTCTCTCTCTATCTCTCCCTCTCTCTCTCTTTTTCTCACGCTCCCTCTCTCTCTCTCTCTCTCTCTCTCTCCCCCTCTCTCTCTCTCTCTTTCTCTCTCTCCCTCTCTCTCTCTTTCTCTCTCGCTCTCCCTCTCTCTCTCTTTCTCTCTCTCCCTCTCTCTTTCTCTCTCTTTCTCTCCCTCTCCCCCCTCTCTCTCTCTCTCTTTCTCTCTCTCCCTCTCTCTCTCTTTCTCTCTCGCTCTCCCTCTCTCTCTCTCTTTCTCTCTCTCCCTCTCTCTTTCTCTCTCTTTCTCTCCCTCTCTCCCCTCTCTCTCTCCTCTCTCTCTCCCTTTCTCTCTCTCTCTCTCTCTCCCTCCCCTCTCTCTCTCTCCCTCTCTCTCTCTCTCTCTCTTTCAATCTCTCTCTGTGTCTCTCTCTCTCTCTCTCTGTCAGATTGAATCCGTTTGTTCTGCTGGAGAGAAGCAGCAGCCTGTCACAGATCATCATTC